TCAGCTGCGTCTAATAAACAGTGACAAGTCAGGGCAAACTCTGTTCCTGGAGCAGCTTTTCCTTGGAAGGAAATATTGAAGATCACTTGGCTAAACTTTATGGGTAAACCATCAGCCAGTGATAGCAAGGAAGCATTGGCTAACTGAGTTGTCCTCCTTGGAAATAAACACATACAGGGAAATGTGGAAAAGGGCCAATATCTCTCCAATGAGGCAAAGAAGATTTATTATATTCACTCTCCCATTTCTGGAGGCAGATGGCTTCTACAGTTAGTCTTGTAACTGAGGATTTTTAGAATGAGCTGCTTCATGGGAAAGAAATGAGGGGCAACAGCATTAGTAGGAATTATGTTTACTAAGCAAACATAAGGCAAGGGCATCTACTGTAGCAACTGAATACAGGAGCTAAACCTTCTGGGATTCACATGCACATAGAAGAGCAGCTAATTCTCTCCATAGGGCAGGAGCAAATCTGCCACCTTGCCAAAAGACATAAATCAATCTTCCACAGACACATGGAGGTAGCATTTAAATCTTCAGAACAATACAGTAATACTCATTTTCCACCTCATATCATAAAGCAAGCAAATACAGTCTTCACTAGCTGGTGTTTCTAAATGGGGTTCAACTCTCAAAGCACACATGGAATATTTTCCTTAAAACTACCAGGAGTGTGTTACTCTGACATTTTAGAATCAGCCTAGAATAGTTGGGTTCAGTTTCCAGCCTATGTAAGAGTTAATTTTTCTCTATTTCTGTGGAAGTTCTAAATTGAGCTACTGTCATGGTGCGTGTGAATGATTCATGATGATTTGCCCCATGTGGTCTTCTGCTAGAGGCAACTGAGGGAGAAAAAAGCAAGCCACAAAAATGCCAACACAAGTCCCACAACAACTCCCTTTTCTTTAGAACATCATTTGTTGTTACTCATCTTTAGTGAAAGAAAAGACAAAAACCACACCAAAATGGAACATGTAGCAGCACAGAGGTTCTAATGAAACCCAAACTATAAATGTGAACTATTGTTGTTTTAGTATTAAAACTAGCAAGCTCATATAACAAAATCCAAATAGGAAGTCACTGGAGGAAAAATGATGAGAAAAGAAAAGCTGCTTATGTTAATTAAACAAAGAAAATCTGCCTGTCAGACAAGAACAGCTTAGAAGCAAATGAATTTAAAATATGTATCTATTTCTTGGTGTTCCCTGAGCACACAGATAATATATGTGCTCACCTATTCAGTCTTAGAGATTAAAGAAATCACTGGGCATATTGACTAAATCCAGGGAAGATAATCTTTAAAAACAGAAGTTCACAACCTGTTGTTATGAATGAAGTTCTGGAAGCAAAGAATAGAGATCTTGCTTGTACTTGTTTTGAACAGCAGGACATATCACAAATTAAAAACCTATTCCCCAAAAAGGGAAAAAGATTCTGCCAGACCATACCATGTAGCACCAATGCCTAATGAAGAGAAAACCCACTTACCAAGGCTCCATCAATACTGCTGCTCACTCCTTACTGAAGCAGTGAAGAAGACATTTACCAGTAGTTCAGGTTCTCCCCCCAACTCCCACAAACTGTTTTGGCAACTTGATCCCTGTGTTGCAGGAACCCATTGCAAAAAATTACGTTATGTCAAGAGTCAGGTTTTCATTAATTTAATTTCTTCTAAGACCTGAGTGGATAACCAAGGGAATGGGTGAATCCCATATACTTTCAAGAATTAATTTTACTTCCTTTTATATTTTCCACTAATTGAAATTAACTTTTCTTTTTTTTTTTTTTTTAAAGAAAAGCCTTCAGTAACGACCCATTAACTGTGTATTTGACATAGGCACACATTTAAAGAACAACTGCAGCATATTTCATGGTAATCATATTGAGAATAGTTACATAGCAATTTTATATACTTACCATTGTAGACATACTATAATCTGAGACACTTAAAAAATGTCACCAGAAAAAAAAAAATCATACATTATTTGAGTAGAGTCAATAAGACTTCTAGATGATTGTTTGCTATTAAATAAACATCCAAGAATTTACAACTTGTGTTATCACAGAATGCTTCTTTATTTTTCTGAAATGATAAAATTAATATGGCTGTTTCCAAGTCACAGTTGTTTGTTTTATTTATTTTAGAGTAGGAATTTCCAGTGTAACCACACAGGACCAAAAACTTGATGTACAGTGGCATTTAGTAATCTGTTACAATGTCCCGCTGTGGCCGTGTGAATCTCCATTTAGGCATTGCTGCTTTATTAACCTTACAAAGAAGAGTGCAATATGGTAACAAAATTGTTATAATCATCCCGAATGACAACATAGCAAGCATAGTGCAGGATAGCCACACACACAATTCCTCTGTTCTTCTGGAGTTGTGATAAATATAATTTCACATATTTGTACAATATTTCACTTACCACTATAAGTGTTAACAAGTGGTGAGTTTGTTTTAAATACTTATAGATGCCTTTTTGATTGCCTTATATTTCTAAGATACATACTTTTTTTTTGTGCTGAATAATGCATTCATTACTACAAACCCCATGAGCACACATTACTTCATGAGATTGTTTAGTAAGCATATAACAAGCCAAGGCTTTCAACCGTTTTTGATTTTCCAAGATATGAGACTTCTGATGGCACTGGTATTCTGACAATGATGGATATGTCTATTAAACAGTTGAGTAATAAATAATGTGCCTAATAGGACAGTAGCAAAGGGACAGTAAAAGGATATTGTAGAAGCACACAGTGGGAGGAGGAGAGGAATAGGCTCATATGAAGCAGTGGCAAAAGCCCAGATTCACGGGTTTTTGAAATTCTTCTTTTGCCAAAATGATTTATTAAAAAAAAAAAACATACAAAGAAACAGTTTCAAAACTATGTGAAGGTTATTAACATAATTATCAGTAACAAAAAACAAAACAAAACACAAAACAAAACCAACAAAAAACCCCACCCAATTAAAATAAAAAACCCCAAATCGAAACATATTTCAAAGGCCTGGGGACAAAAAGCATTAAAAAAGTAAAATAATTTCAAAGAAGTTGAGGTGCTCTATATCTCTCCTTCCTGCAGCATTGTAAGTGAGTCCATGGCAAACACCATTTTGCACCACAGAGTCTCTCCAACAGGTTTGCTTTCTCTCATCCACCAGACTCAGAACTCCATCAGCCTCAGAACTGAGCCTTTATTCATGATCAATTTTCTTAGGCTCTCAGAGGGCAAAAATGCAAAGAGTGCTTAGAAAAGAGTTACCTCCCAAACAAAGGTGAACTGGTGAAAAAGCTAATGGTAAAAAAAATTACTATTACAAAAAACACATACATGCCTCAAGACCCAACTATTTTCACCTTTCAAAGTTCACTTGACTAAAAATTCACCCAGTGTCTACAGAAGTGGACCATCTGTGTACTTGCAATCCAGGTCAGTTTTCATTACTAGATTATTTGGAACACTTTAAATCATGTTGAATTCCTCTTTGCATTTTTAAGTGAAAGAAGATTGAGCTAAATCGCTATCTCGTATGAGTCAGTGCTGTTAAATTAAAGAAAAAAAAAAAAAAGGAAACCAAGCAGATTACAAAGACATAATATTACAGTATGTGGTTATTCATGACTAAGCCTCTATCCAGGAGAAGGAATCCCAACATTGTCTAACACAAGCAATGGGACACAGTAATAGCCAATTATTTAACCCACAGTCTCTTTGAGGATCATCTAGCTGAGTAGAAAAGCCATTAAGAAAGTTTTTCAGGGCATCTTCATCTTTGTATTTCCAGGTGTGTTACTAAAGGAATCTATTTGAAGCAGAGCTACAAGCCATTTCTAGAATTAAATATACTGTTATTCATTTCAGATGTATAATAGTGCAATCATCATTACACAAAGGGAGCATAAAAGTGAAGGGTACATTTATTTAATTTTTATTTTCAGAAACATCATGGATTTCTTCAGCTATATAGAGCAGTTGAAAGGATAAGCTCTGTATTACCAGCCTCATGCTGTGCTATTTAATTTGAATCTTTGTAACAACTGCAAATATCTAATGTCACTTTACACCCAGCAGGTGAGAAATACCTACCATGACAGAATTGAGATACTGTATATTTTCATCCTTAAAGATATTAATATATTCAACTTCCTTTTTTTTTAAGACACTTCAGTCTTCACTTTCTGTAAATCAAGACCCAGCAAAGTTGCAAAACTGGAGCAAATGCTGGCCATCTCCTTATCTTCACACCAGTTCCTTTTCTTTCAATATCAAGAAAATTAAAAGGAATAGTTGAGGCACAAGTGATTTTTATGCAGAAGTATAGAAATATTTCAATAAGTAGACTAAAACTTCAGTATTTAACTTCTTTTTAAAAAAGACGAAGATCATAGATACATGATCATAGTCATAGATCACAGTCACTGCAGTCTTACTGATTGCTTATTTTTTTCCCCAAGGTGAAAAAATAAACTGGTTCACAGAATTTACCAAATCCACTTTATACTGCCATTTCACATAGTTCATGTCTAACCAAAGCAAAATACAAACCCATGCTTCAAGGGAGCTTGAAAGCATTCTGCTACACCTAAAAATAAATGATTTCTTCAGTGAAGACAACTTCAGTGAACCCAGTAGTTCAGAGAAGAGTTCATCCAGCTGAACTGACGTAAATGTTGCACAAAGAATTTAGCATGAAAGTGCACTGGCAACAAGCTTTTGAGAATAAACTCATATTATAAGACCTTGTGCTTGAAACTACTTTTACAGCTATGGTTATTGTTTCTGTTAAGAGGCACTGCATAAATAAGGAGTCATTCATCTAATGCACTTAATATTTCTCGGATAAGGACTATTGCAGTTTTACTTTATGTCTAGGTGTGATAATACTTTGGTTTGCTTTACAGCAGTAGCATTGCACTAGCAATACAGCTGATACTAAAGAGAAGGCTGAAAACACTTGCAGACTGGAGTTGAAAAATCCCCATCAGCTCCCTTACTTCTTTTCATGCTTCTTGGTAAGTTTTCCTCTTTCTAGTTGGAGGCTTGTACCAGTGTTTGTTCGCTTCTCCTTTTGCTGGCTCTCCTGGGAAACTTGTTGCACTGCTCGGAGGATAGCAGTCTGCACAATCTGCTTGCTGGCAATCTGCAGCTTAACTTCATCTTGCTCTGTCCCTGGCTTCTCACCTGCCAGAGCCAAACAAAAAAGAAAGGGAACTAAGAATCCGGGGCTAGTCCATGAAAACATGAAGGGCAGAAAAAGAGGAGGCAGGGAACAAAATCACAGTGTGACTGGGGACAGTTTATTACATAGGAAACCTGCCAATACTGAAGAAGATGAATTAGGGTGGAATTTGCCTATGCATGCTCAGCACCACAGGACTGAATGAAGGGGGAGATTTTGAGTCATACATTTCAATTACCCACTCCCCAGCACTGGGGACAGCTGTGACTTCACAGCTGAAACAAGAACAGATGTGTTATGCAGTAAGACAGGAAAGGAAGGTTTCCTCATGCAGCTGTGATTCACATCCATTTTGACTTGAGCTATGCTTCTGGATAGGGAATTGGACTTTATTTTGCAAGCCTGACATGTACTCCCTCACCACCACATAGAAAAAAACCCAACGTTTCATTAACCTTTCTTTTTACTTTTACTTCAGATTGAAAGCCCTCATCCATTAAATCCCAGTTGACTTCAAGGCACAAGATTTTGTTTCGTGCAGTTTATTAACCCTTAGATAGATTTTCAAAAATATCTGCAAAACATTAAGAAATGCTCAGATTGCTCTAGGTAAAACAGATAACATTTTCTATGGCAACCTGTCAAATACTTATTTTTATGTGAACTTCCTTGTTTGGCTAAAGTGTTAAAATCTGGAGAAAAATGAAGCCATGTAGTAGGACTACTGACATCTGGTAGAAGAAGAGTAGTTTATGTTGAGGTTTCTCTTTAGAAGTATTTTGACTTCTAACATAAGTGGCAATTTGGATAGTAAAGAATGTCTGTAATGGTCACAACTGATACTGATTAAAAAAATAATTCTGACATACATTTATTGGTATATAGGAAATCAGCTGCTAATTGAAAGGCTTAGACTAGGTGCTATTGACATCACTAGATTTGATTTTAAAGTTTTTAAAGATACTCATCTCAGTTCTTTCTTAGTTGACTGTTATGCTCAAGTATTGCATTACTTAGGATGTGTAGTTTACTCTCTGTTTTAATTACATATATTAAGAATTGCGTCCTGAGAGAAATCAGAGTGAATTAAAGATCAGGTGTTTTTATGAGAGGTGCATATCTGAAATTGTGATTAATTCCCAGTGTTTCAATTTTTTTTTTCAAGGAAACTTGGAAAACATAGAAAGAAAAGAAGAATCACTTGTTTCCTTAGGGAATATTCTATATGCTTGAGAGAAGAGAAAAGGTCCTGGACCTGGGTCAAAATAATGCCTGATGTCAATGCAGACTGGGTGGTGAATTTATTACCAGCAGATTTGTGGAGAAGTTCTTGGGGATACTGGTAGACAAAAAGCTGGAAAAGAGATGGCTTTTAACCCAGAAATGTATGCCGGTCTTTACAAAAAGAACATGGCCAGGAGCAAAGGGAGGTGATTCTATCCCTGTGCTCAGCTCCTGTCAGACTCTGGTGTACTGTGTCCAGGTCTGGAGTACTCATCACTGTAAAGACAAGTAAGAGGTTAAAACCTGTGAAAACATAGAAAAGTGTTTTAAACTTGAAAAGCTTACTGAAAAATTCACTTGAATTCTTGGTACAGTCAGCTTCCCTGATTCAGTTTTTTCCATTCCTCAGGACTTGAAACACTGTAGTTTTGGATGGAATTAAATGTTACTTAACAGATACAGTATAGCTAATTCTTTACTACTCAAATATGAACTCACATTTTATCACAAAACGAATTAGTCTTCTCGCTTGGCTGAAAAAGATCAGTCAACACATCCGATGCTCAGAAGATAACGTATTAACAAAAGCAGGGATAAACATGAAATTCTTAATAATAATGAAAATGTTGGAATAGACAATGAGATACTATGAAATATAAAAAAATTTGCCAATCCTCAAAGCCACAAACCCCCAGAATTTATCATTAAAACATACTGTCATTGAGCACATCGCTGCTGAAAATTACTGCTTGCTCTCCTTAAGGATCCTTCGTTATTTATTTGGTCCTTGCCAATTAATCTGATGTCTAAATATTTTTATTTTAGAAAGGTCATCCATAGCAACAGTCAGTTGAAAAAAAAGAAATTTCTAGTGCACTTCTCCCTGGGCTTTTCAGTTATTTATTCAAGAGCAAAACCTGTCTGAAAGCACCATACAGATAAGTGAGATGTAGAGTATGTCTGCTCAGCTCTAACTCATTATATGATTCTTGTATTTGCTGAGATAACCAAGAACGGAGAACCCAAAACCTCTGGATTACCTCTGCCCATCTTCTGAGGGTTTAGGTATGCACAGAAAAGAAATGAAGCAGCTTGAATAAACTGAATCAATATTTGTATAAAATAGTTAGGATGATAGCAAGCCAGATAACAAGAGATAATTGGCTTCAGACACAGAGAGAATCAAAGCTGTTGGCCTGGGGTGATGTGAACAATGAGCCCATTGGCAGCTTGTGTGAACCATCTAAATTAGAAACCAAGTAAAAATTATAGTTATTTTGGAGAGTGATATCTGACACTGTGTTTGACCCAGATATGAGCCTGTGTTGGGACCATTATTCATAGGAGCTGGACTGCCAGAAATTTCAAGCAGTCAAAAACAAATGTCCAGCTCCCCTGGGTATATGGTATCTATTACAGCTGGTCCAACAGGACAGGATCTAGATGGCAAGTGGTTCTAGATGACACTGCCTGAGTAGGAGTTAGACAAGATGACCTTTAGAGGTCCCTTCCAAACACAAACCTACTCAATTCCTGTGATTTTAGCTGGTTAGGCTGTGATAAATCACAAATTTTCCACTTCCTGAATGAGTAAACAGCAATCTCACAAAAAACTATCCCCAAAACATCCTCTTCCTCCAATTATTCATTTCAAGGAAAGCATTTCGCTAGTTGTTTTCTGAGAAGTTCATTTTTTATTGATACACTGGACCTACTCTGAACAAGAAGAAAGGAAAGCAGAGATGACTCATACAAGAATCCTAAAGGGGCTGAGCTGGAGCATATCTATGTCCACCTTGCTGAAATACAGACTGCTGTGGACATCCAGGCAGAAATTTGAGTGCCTATAGAATTAATTAGACACTTTAAGAACTGCACATTTTCAGTCAAGTGAATAAAAAGGCATAGCTCCTAATGGCTAGGTGTTTGGCATTTAGCTAATCAAAATGAGAGTTACTAGGATGATAAAATACAATTAATTTTTATCTACCATTTTTTAAGATTTGAAACATAACTGTTAAGTTAAAATTCCATGACAAATAGGAAGTACTTCATTTGAAGTAGTTTCTGGGGAAAACTGGAATAACACCAGAAACACATGCTGCCTATTCGTTTTCCTTCTCTGAAGACTAAATTTTTCTCTTGAAAAGTTAGAAAATCTTTACTTGTTCTCTGTCTTTAGATCATACCCTGCATCCTAATTCTGTAAATAGAGAACTGAAATATGTGGGTTAAGGGATGTTAAATACAAGGCAGCAACTTTATCAACAACACATTATGAAGCCTCTTTAGCATGTTTTTATTACCTTGTGCTACTCTCAGTAATTTTATGCCAACTAAATCAGCAGATGAAAAGTAACTTTTAAACTCTGGTCTGGTTCTGCAATCCAAAATACAGTTTGAGAGACCCAAAAAACATCAAAATCTTGGACTGACTGCAGGAATCAGTCACATATTCCACTTCTACCTAAAATTAGCCAGTTTCAAGGCATGTATCAATGCCTTGAAACTGGCTTGCTTAAGGATGTTCCCCATGAAGGGAAGTATGGCAGAAGTTTGAAAAAATATTAAAAATATTTGAATTAAATTCCAAGTATTCAATTAATATAACTAATATTAGTTTAAGGCCAAGAACTCCTTGTGTATCAGACTTGATGTCCTCTGAGATGTTTCTACACTATTTAATATTCTAAAAAGGTCTACATGGAAAAAAATAACTACAGAGAAAAAGCATTTAGAGACCAAATGTTTACGTAATTCACTCTGGTTGCACATGAGCCTTTTCTCATTTTTACACTTCACTTTCTTCAAAGTATCCTGAATCACTTCCTTTCCAGCTTGCAATCAAAGTAGTCTCCCACACTTTCTGTTGATATCCCCTGGAGCTATTTCCTTTCAGCTAGCTAGAAGTTAAATTTATTACACTTTTATAGAAACTCCTAGTAAATAACACTCAATAATGGGTAATATTTGAATCAACAGCTAAGCTCCCTACTGTATATTTTCCTAGGATTATTTGGAATATTATCATGAAGGTAAGCTATGACAGGCATGATCTTGCGAAGATGCAAGATCCACCAATCCCAGATCCACCAATCCCAGATCCACCAATGCTATCAATACACAGTGGGGAGTCAGAGACCTTTATATTCACCCTTCCTCAAAGCTTGTAACATTTATTCTTCCTATAGGTTGTATAAACTACTTTGAAGTTTAACTGTATCTAAAAATAAGAATAAAAATCATGTTCCCCTAAACAAGCTTCTGACCGAATTAAAACTCAGAATTACGCATAATGCGTTGCCCTGTTAGCTACAATTTAAATATATGCAACAATTTTGAAGCTGAAAGAGCCAAGAAGTAAATACATTTTTCTTCAAATTTACATAAGAGAAGCTTATAGTCTTTAACTAAAAATTTTTCATTAGTTTTAGCAGTATATTGCTTTGGATTCAATAATTAGTGATTATTCTTTCCTGCAGCACTGCAACACTAGAATTAGTTTTTAAATAAAAAGCATTGTTACTATTATTATTAGTTCAAGAAAAATACTGATCTCTGGAAAATCTATCTCAATTCTATTGAAAATTCTTACTGTAATTTTTATAACCCAGCTGACAGTACTAATGAAAACTTTAAATGGAATGAAATTATAAATAGACAAGACCATGATGATTAGACTTCATCAGAAGGTCCAGTGTGGATTCACGGGAGCTGTGTATACAGCAAAAAGCTGCATATACAGCAAAAAGCTGCATGTTATTATGTAAATTGTGTT